CTTGCCATCTCCGCTCAAAAAGACGTGGATACCTCCCAGTGGCCCAATCACTGGCCAAGCCCGAGGTCGAAAGATCTCAGGCTTCCCGACTGTTCCCATTTAGAAGGTCTGCCAATGACAGACCCTGAATTCGTGCCACTCAGGAATTGGTGGCGTGAACGTTTCAAAGACGTCATGGCGCCAGCCCCTGAAGTCCTACCTCCGTTCAGGGAGGTTAACCACTGGATCAACTTGATTGATCCGAATAAAAAATATATAGAAAGAAGGGCTACGTGCCCTCAGGCTCTCGAACCGCAGCTTCGAGAAAAGATTGCTCGTTATGAGCGAGCCCAATGGTGGGAACGCAAGGCGGTTGCAACGGCGGCTCCACTTCTTTGTCTTGCAAAGAAGGACGGTTCTTTACGGACTGTAATCGATGCGAGAAATCGCAACGCGAACTCCATTCTCGATGTCACGCCCATGCCTGACATGCGTTTCATCATGGATAGTATGGCTCGGGTAACTTATCGATCAAAGATCGATATGACAGACGCGTACGAACAGATTCGTATCGAACTGGACTGCGTACAATACACGGGGATGAGTACCCCGTACGGTACTTTCATATCGAACGTGCTGCAACAAGGGGACTGTAACGGCCCTTCCACGTTCCAGCGCATTTTGACTTGGATCCTAAGGGACCAAATCGGTCAAGCCGTCCACGTATGGTTCGACGACATCTTCACTGGAACTACGTCAGTGAAGCAACACAACGAGAAATTCTTGTGGATATATACTCGTCTGAGGGACGAGAAGCTCTATGTAAGCCCAAGAAAATTTGAGCCATTCGCCCCTGTACTCGACATACTGGGGTGTAAAGTGGACTCAAACGGAATCCACGCAGATTCCGACAAACTAGAGAAAATAAGGAACTGGCGAACGCCAGAGAACCACACCGAGGTTCTGCGATTCCTAGGGCTCATTGAGTACCTAGCGAAATTCCTACCCAACGTCAGTGCATACACTGGACCGTTGCAATCCATATGCACCAGCCATATGCCGTTCCGCTGGAACGCCCTACACGAAAAATGTTTCGCGCAGATCAAAGTAATCGCGTGCAAGACACCGATTCTAAAGCCCATAATCTGGGATATACCGGATTCAGAAGACCAAGACAAGTACCGTGTCTGGGTGATCACCGATGCCTGCCCCGCTGGCGTCGGGGCCGTGCTCGCACAGGGTGCAGAATGGCAAACCTCTAACCCTGCTGCGTTTATGTCGAAGAAGTTCACCCCGACTCAACGGGCGTATTTCGCCTATGAGCTAGAAGCTCTAGGCGTTCTGGAAGCGCTCACCAAATGGCTCGACGAGCTGACTGGTGGGCGGAAATTCACTGTGGTCACTGACCACAAGGCGCTTACTTACTTCAAAGAGAAGAATCACACTGCGCCGCGTCACATTCGTTGGCAGAATTTCTTTCACGGTTTCAATTGTGACATCGTGTATGTACAAGGCCACACAAACAAAGTGGCCGATGCCCTGTCGCGATACTATGAGTCCTCGTCAGACGAGGATGTCCACTACGACGATTACGTATCCGCAGATATACGGATTGATAAAGAGGGCGACAATCTGCCCTTGGCGCGTGCTGAGGAAGCACGGGAATTATTACACCTGCACAGGTTGAGACTGCAGTGCATACGGCTGGGTGCGTCCCACTCTATCGGAGACGCTCAGGAGCCACGAGATCTCGAGGCATCCGTGCTCGATCCCCCTGACGATCGTCGAGGAGGGAGCTTTCCCTCGAAGATGTACTGCCGCCATTGGCAGAGCTACGTCCTCATGTAGAGGACAAAGCTTTCATCGCAAGTGTGAAAGACGGCTACTCCAAACACAATGCTTGGAGAGGGATCCTGGCAAAACCTGGGGATTTCCCTAGGTTCTCGATCGTCAATGGCCTAATTTTCTGTCTGAATGATTCAGGCGAGCCACGACTTGTCCTCCCTGAATCTATTCATAAAGGGGAGAGGATAACGGGCATCGCGATCGAGCACGCACACCGCATCCTTGGTCACCTCGGCGCCAAGAAGACGCTCGAGTACATACGCAAACACTACTGGTGGTCTTCGATGTCAAAAGACATCGAGAAATTCTGCACGTCCTGCGGGATGTGCCAGACGACCAAGAAAAGCAAACTCAGATATCCGGGACTGCTTCACCAGCTCCCGGTCCCTGAGAAACCTTGGGAGTCAATCGCCATGGATTTCGTCGGACCATTCCCGACGAGCCTGAGTTATAACTACCTCTGGGTAGTTCTGTGCCGACTAACGTGCCAGGTTCACCTAGTGCCTGTGACGACCCAGGTCAAGACTATTGAACTGGCGCATCTGTTCCTGCAACATGTCGTGCGCTTGCACGGCATGCCAACATCCATCGTGTCAGACCGTGACACGAAGTTTACGTCTCAATTTTGGACTGAGTTACACCGACTCATGGGTGTTAAACTCAAGTTAACTACTGCGTTCCATCCTCAAGGGGATGGCCAAGCAGAACGAGCGATCCAGACAGTGGTCCAGATCCTTCGGTCATTCGTCCGACCCGATCAGCGAGATTGGGCCATGCATATACCCATGGTAGAATTCACATTGAACTCAAGTGCGAACAAATCAACGGGATTCGCCCCGTTTGAGTTGGTATACGGATACCTTCCACAAATGACCATGTCTCTGCCGTCATCCGAATTGCCAGGGGTGAAATCCTTTGCCCAGCAGGCCCTGGACAACATCCAGGCCGCTCACGACGCTATTATTAAGAGTCGTGTAGAACAGGCTATCCAGGCGAACCGACATCGGCGCCCTGATTCCCCAAAACTGAAGAAAGGGGACTACGCATATCTTTCAACGAAAGATCTGAACCTCCCCAAGGGGAGGGCGCATAAGTTGTTGCCAACTTATATTGGCCCCTACGAAATACTGGAGGTATTTGAGGACTCATCAAACTACGTCCTCAGGCTTCCCCCAGTGTTGACGCAAAGAAATATCTTTGCGAAGTTCCACGTCTCACGGCTCGCACCTCATGAGCCGAATGATTCTGTGCTGTTCCCTGGGCACGCCGTAGAAGTGTTTTACGACTTTGGCGACGACCCAGAACGGGAATACCAGGTTAAGGAAATCGTCGACCATCGATGGGATGACGATAAGTCTTTATGGTTCCGTGTCCGATGGGGACTTGGTGACCTTACTTGGGAACCCTTGGCCAACGTAAATGATCTAATTGCGTTGGATGACTACCTAACAGTACAAGGGGTAGAGAACGTCGAGGAACTGAACCGTCAACGACGGGATCAGACGCCGGACAATAGATCCAGCGGACCATCACGACCACGGCGTGAACGTCGCCTACCGGTCCGATACCAGCAGATATCAATGCCTTATCACGGCCAACTATGGCGTTGAAGCCATGAGTTGCCTAAACTGGCAAGTCCGGGAATATCTGAATAATATCGGATAAATGCGACGAAAGCGGGATCAAATCCTGCTTCCTACCATCAAATTTGAAATCGCTCAAATGAACGCGACTGAATCCCCCCTCGCTGATTCCTCCCTTGACCTTTCCCCCGGCTCGTATTGCACGGATGTACATCCTCGCGTGTCGATGGATAAAACCAATGACTGACGACGCTCGTGAGCGTCGTAAAATTCAACACCAGGAACGAGCACTTATGTACTCGAACCCTCCCCCAATGTCGTACTCAAACCCGCCTATGATGTACGCGAGCCCACACCCTGTGGCGTATTCAAACGCCCCACCTCCGCCGCAATACCCCCTCCGACGTATGCACACTCGTCGGTGTACGAATCCGCCCACGCACCACCAGTGCGAGGGCGTGCTCCCTCTTCTCATGGACGTGGCCATCCCGTGCACCATGTCCATTATTCGCACTGTCGTCAAGACGAGGATTCGTCCATGAACGACGCTGATGTCGAGACTCGTCACTACGACGACAACTATCTGAGTGACGATGTCGCTGTCGACGCGGCTAGGTCCACGACGACTCGTAGGACTACGTCGAATCGCCCATCCGGCTCTGGCCCGTCCGGGTCAGCGCCGCGTAAACGAATGAGGAACTGACCCCCCCTCATCCATACCTTCGTCAACGACAATGCCGTCATTGATTACCCACTTTCGTCAACGACAAGGCCGTCGTTGATCAATAATCTCTTACCTTCGTCAACGACAATGCTGTCGTTGATTGTCTATTCTGTACCCTTCGTCCTTCGTCAACGCAATCGTCGTTGATTATTCATTTTCTCGTCGGCGACAACTCTGCCGTCGACGACCTACACTGTCAACATCGTCACGGTGGACAATGGTATTTAATAAACTCACAACGACGAGAAAGTCGTTCCATCGTCGACAACACTGTCGTCGAGATCTGGGTGCATATGTTCCAGGAGAAACTCTAAGTGGGCTTCGCCTACAAAATACTATTATAGCCTCCTGCAATGAGTGTGCCCCTGTTTGCATACATTCTTCGTATGTAGAACGTTAAAAAAAAAAATTTTATTTCTTTAAAAATGCTTGCTTTCCCCTTGTGTATATATGCTAGTACCCTGTCTGCGATCTAGTATCGCAAGGGAGGAGGATGTGAGGCCCCGGCCCATGTCTATATTCCGCCCACAACATCAGTTGATGTTGTGTTGTGTAATAATTATGTCGCGACGCTAATTTAGCGTTGCGGAAGCTTCTCTATTTATTTGTGCCGAGAATGTATAAGATTGTATATAAACCCTCGGGGTAGCTGTAAAAGGCGGATTAGCCTTTACTTCTACCCCGTCAATATACAGCCAAATCAAGCGTATACTTAGACGGATTACTGAGGCCTGAGGCGAACGGGGGAACGGAACATTACCGTCCCCAAACTAGTAAGATAACCTTTCACCGAGCACTGGAAAGTGTCCATAGACATAACGGATCATGTTCCATTATCGCAGGAGCACCCTATTCTGAGTCCTCACAGCATGGCTCTTTCAAGATTGGAAACTTTACTTCCATTGCATTGGGCAATTTTCTCAACCGGATCGAAGGCAAATTATGACATGAAGCATATCGGCACCGATGGGGTGGGATTAGAAGTCTTTGGAGGCACAGGGGTGGCACACATGGAAAAGAACTGGGGCGCATCATTTCCAACTGGCTGGACATGGTACGTCGCTACGCTGTGCTTCACCACCCACTTCTCAATTCGAGCTTTTTTTTATGTTGTAGGTGTCAAGCATTTGGTGCATCCTCGCACGATCCCATGCAGACATTCGGTGACCATCGAGACAATGCAACAAGAGATTGTGTTGCCATTGTGGGTGGTGTCCTCGCTTTGGGTCAAAAGGCATATCTCATCCATTACAAGGATTCAGGCGACGCCTGGCACCCTCGTCATGAGCGTTCGACACATCCTTATTCAGCGAAGGATCATGAAAGTACTGAAAATTCTGATCCTAATGACAAGCAGCATATCAACTGGACCTTCTGCCCATTATGGACTCTCATTCTAGCACTCCTGTATCCTGCTGGTATCCCACGATTCAAGATATCGCGGAAGAATCTAGTGGAAAAAAATCCCTCATTGTCCAATACCTTTGACTCCTCTGCTGGCTGTGGGTCAACCGCCGTTAGCACATTGACGTTTAATTTTTCCATCCTCGGCCTCCCTGCGCTATCCCTCATGATCCCTTATGCCGTTATCCAGTTCTCCCCATTTGGATCCATGCATGGAACGTTCACATACAATGAATGCTCAGGATTCGGACGGTTGCAGCTTACCGCCGCGACCCTTAACAGACGGATCCTAATTAATGCACAGTCAGAGTCACGGCCTGCCATTCTCAATTCACAAGTACAGCCGAGATGGCTTGCGCTGCATTGCCCAATGCCTGGTGGGCATGCCACACGTGTGTACGAGACATTCACAGCAAGGGCAACGATAAGAGCCAACAGGTGCCAGTGGAGATTCGGCTGGCCATGATGGGTCGAAATCAGGAATGTCGAGTTTGAACACACGGCATTGGAGTTTGGAGGATTGTATGCTGCGATAGCATGATCAGCACCTCAATAAATCAGAGACGCCAATATGGGACGAGCTATAACTTGTGGAAAAAAATTATGCCCCCTCCCAGTTCCAGATATTGGACCCTGGCCACCCACCTTCTATAACTTTATTCTAAATTGTGCAGATGTGTTATTCTGTACGTAGAGCTTGCGAGGATTGGGTGGAGTATACTGTGGTATAACGACCATAGGTTCATTCCCACGGTTTTCGGGGATTGCCGGGTCCTACTGGTGTAGTTCATCCTTTGGTGCAACATGCGACAATCACTCTGCGAAGTTCATCTTCTTCTTAGCGCCACATCTCCAAGTATGACCAGAATGGAAAATTGTCCTTTGATAGATACAGTAAGCCAGAAATTTCCTTTGGCCTCGCAACACTCATGGATCCCTTCACTTTTGCCAGCTATATTGAACTGCTTGCGTCCAAACCTTGTGATTTCAAGGATGTTCTGCCATTGTTTATTGGGACTCTCCTGCCTGACCTTCGACTCCCTTTGATAACATTTCTCGATTTTCACCTTCCACAATTGCCACCTGAGAATGTCCTGATTCATATTGCATACAACCCCTACTGTCACTTCACTTAGTCTTGATGCCGTTAATTCTCTACCATGGCCTCCACTGCACTCTTCCAGGCAGTTTCTCGCTCTGAGCATGCCAATGATATGGGTTCTAATTCATCACTTGGTGACGGTTCAAGTGATGCAAGGGCAGCTTGGTTTCTTGTAGTAGGGATCCAATCCCTTCGGAGCTGGTGCACCAAGGGGAGAGGATGAGGAAACCCATCAATTTAGTGGCATGAAATAGATGGTGGGATGGGTGGTAACGACGGACATAATATAGTTGTAGATCCTTCTTCATTAGTTCAAATTTTCATTGCGACATGCGACAATACTACTTTTAGTTCAGTTCAAAACCTTTGTGCGACATGCGACTGAACTTATGGTCGTTATACCACAGTATGGATCGATGGCCACCCCAGGCCAGTGCTGGTATGTCGAGCATCCTGATGTGTCTGGTTCCAAACACAATAAACAGTTGGATAAAATGTTGCTCTTTCCTGGCATGCATGATTCTGGGATGAAGTCATCGAGAACCGCTACTGGGTGGGAGGGGTTAAGGATACCTATCCCATTTCTTTGTGCAACAGACTTGGGATAAATCCGAATGCAGCACAAATTCTGCAGCTTTTGCTGGCCCCAGGTTTCAGCGTGATCAAGCCAAGGTGGAACGAGGTACTCTTCGAGCCTCACAAGTTCATGGACTAAGTTGGGATGGGGTTGCCCATACGTTGACTTTATTTAACGTGATGCAAAAAAATCGTTCACTTTTGTCCCGATATCTTGTAGCACTAAATGCTCATATCTCAGCATTTATACAACGTTGGTTCTTTGTATGGATGAACGCCGGGCGAAACGGTGGAAATTGGCAAAAGAAATACCGATTTTTTAATACGTTCAGAGTGATCCATTTTGGCCAAGCCTTTTAGTGGTGCAGGTTGGCTCAAATGGACAGATAGATACATTCTGATGCAGAGTGAAAGGGAATCAAGGAACTATGGAAAGCGCAAAATCAAAAAGTCTGGGGTCACAAACGCTGATGAGCATTCATGTTGTCTGACCTGGGACTAAATGACAGTGCAAGGAAGGAATGGTCATAGATCCGTTGAAGTCTCCAAGCCTGTATTTATACTCACTGCACCATAGGGAAAGGGAACCTCGTCCAGGGGAAGTCCAGAAAGATGGAAGGGCAACCTAGCGAAACTTCGTGGCAATTCCCCCTCTGATAGTGGATAGAACGCGGAAGGTAAATGAGAAGATATTGCAATTGACCACAAATATCCTAAAGGACTTGACTAAGATCAACAACAATTGGAGCTGTCTGTCGGCCTTGCACAAGAATTCGAGTCCCATCTTTGCTGGACCGAGGGCTGTACAGATCGATAGGATCAGATGGCACTTGATCACCATACCAAGCGCCTAGACCTTCGGCACCAGAAAAGTTAACTAGGCGATACTCCTTGGGAATAAAGAATTCAAATTCGCCATCGAAGTACACTGGTAGCCCAGCGGAGCCGAAAGTTCCAAAAAGTGGGGTTCTTCCGGCTGCGGATGAATGGATTTTATACCGCGGTATTATGAAATTGATGTCCTCCTTGGCTAAGATAACATAAAATGGGCACTTGATCCAGGATTCGTCCAAGTTATGCCCTGCATGTGTTTCGGAATGATGTATATCTGCTGCTTCACCCTCTGTCAAGGAAAGGGTAGGCTGAGTGGATACAGGATCAGGGATGCGATAAGAGCAGGCAAGGGGAACAGCAGGATTCATGATCCAAAGCTTGAAATCTGTCACACGATAACTCGCAATGAGCTCACCCGAACCTGTCGACCAGGTGAAAGCACTGAGGTCATCGAAAGCGCCAATATAATGTGCTCCTGGAGAAAACCCAAGTGTGCGACGGTGAGGAATCATTGGGGATGCAGAGGACCTAGTAGAAGACTTGGAAGTTGGAGTGAAACTACTGGAAGTAGGGGGTGCAAGCTGCTGCATGTGCAGGTCACCTGAAATGGATATGAGGGTCATGCTGTCGTACCAAGAACTACCAGCGTTCCGTGGAACCCGTACAATAAATAATCCATTATCTGATACTCGAGTTACAGCAGGAAGAGGATTGTTGGGAAGAGTACCGATATTAATGGAAGTCATATCATGGCCAAGGATGGTGACGTTCCCCTCATTGTCCTCAGCAGCAACTCGGTGGCTGCCATGGACAAATTCGATCCAGACTGGATGGTTGGGTGGATCGAGCTGGAATCGGGAAATCGTGTGCTGATGGTCGATATCAGCGAGTTCGATGACACCACTCCCAAAACCAAGAGCTACATGGTGACCATCAAGGGAGAGCGCCGCACATGTCACAATACCATTACGAAAATCAGGGTTGTTGAATTGGGCGTCATAATCAGCCACAATACCCTTACCATCAACCTTCTTTAGCAAATTAGGTAGCTTCGCCTCCATGACCATTCGAGCATTGAGTAAATCCTCACTCAATGGGATTCTGTGCCCAGAAAACTTGCCGGAAATGGTGAAGATCCGGACGGGATCAGAGAGGTGGCCATACAGTTTGTGAAAAGGTGATGAGGATGGGGTGAAAGGAAGGGTTACTCGATAGAGGTTCGATGGTTCCAAGGACACCATATTGATATACTCCATATGTTGCATTTCTTGAGCTTCTTTCAAAAGTTTAAATGAATCGCAATTCTGTTAAAAATGACATCATATTAAAATAATCACAACGCATTAATTTTATTTACCTTGAATCCATCAAATTCATCAGGCAATCCCTTCCTAAGTTCATCATGCCGTGCCAGGTGCATAAATGTAACCAAGTTTCGTGTGAGGAATGTACTAAACTCATTCTGCAAATTGGACCCTTGTGCAAAGAGTTGTGAGGGGTCCAAGTGTTCTAATAAGTATTCACGAGTATATCGGAGATGATGAGGGAGGTGACGTTTTCTCTTCCGAAAATCGACCCATTTCCCCTCATCTCCTAAAGGGAGAACAGTGGGCAACTCAAACACATTCCGCTCACAACTATTATTGAAAAATCGGAGGAGTGGCAGTCCGATGAAATACTGATCCGCATCCGTGATAAAGAATACTTTGTCGTTTTCATCACCAATCGGATCCCCCGTTATAAACTCTTTCATCGTTGCATGATAGAATTTGACACCCTTTGGGTCCTCTGAGGAACTTTCTGCAAGACTTTCCAAAGAAGTAGAACTTTCCGAGCCACTCTTTGAAGAAGGATCAACAATTGAGCGAATTGGTTCCAATATAGCTAGGACCTCTTCCTCGGCGATTCCTGACAGCTGCGATATAAAAAACACACTTAGTGGCTCGAATGCCGCATTGATTGTCGCAACCACTTGGCGGTACTTCTTGGCTGTATGTTTACGGACTCCAGATGAACCGACTATGTAGGCACGGCGAAGTACACGCAGGTACTCCTTATTGATGTCTTCAGGGGCATCGATCAAATCACGAAAGTATTCGAACTCGGATCGAAGGGTTGCACCACGACAGGTTTGAAAGGAGACATCCCGGACTCGGATTGAGGCGATAATCGGCAATCCACGACATGCTGAAACAAACGCATCCACTTCTTCTTTTGATGGTTTCCAGGAAGAGTTGTCGATGCAATCCCGAAGGCCTTCCTCCACCATGCGGTGGATAGTGTGAAACTTCTCTTCCTCGGCGACAATGTCCATGTCTTCACAAGGTATGACAAGACCCTGAGCTCGAGCTCTAACCCAAGCCGACACAACGGATGACTCTGGCCGACAGCTGACCAGCACGGAAAATGCGGCAGGCAGCTCATCAAGGATAAGTACTAGCTTCATTAAGGACTTAAGTTCCTCCTGAGCCCCACACTCGTCCAGTCCGTCCAAGATAATGACGGGGCGCTCCCCACGCAAAGACAAGAGTTTGTGTATGAGATCAACAATCAAAGATCCCATCTGCTCCTCCAGCCGGAGGTCCTTCAGTGCCGGGGACTGTCGAAGTTGACTGACAAGAAGACCTTCATACTCGGCATTAAACAAGGCAAGCTGACGTGCGAGAGTAGAGGGAAAGTGTTCGATCGAAGCAAGTCCTTCTCCCTGACGATTTTTGTCCCAGAAGAAAGATGCTGCCAGGCGACCCTGCTTGTTAAGAGCCGAGGC